GGGCTGTCCGGGAGCACAGGGTGAGATCGGGAGCACAGGCGTGAGATCCGGAGCACAGGCGTGAGATTTGGATCATAGGCGTGAGATCGGGATCACAGACATGAGATCGGGATCACAGGCGTGAGATCCGGAGCACAGGCGTGAGATCAGGAGCACAGGCATGAGATCCGGAGCACAGACGTCAGATCGGGAGCGCAGGCATGAGATCCGGAGCACAGGCGTGAGATTTGGATCATAGGCGTGAGATCCAGAGCACAGACATCAGATCGGGAGCACAGACATGAGATCGGGAGCACAGGCATGAGATCGGGAGCACAGGCGTGAGATCGGGAGCACAGGCGTGAGATGGGGAGCACAGGCGTGAGATGGGGAGCACAGCCGTGAGATTCAGAGCACAGGCGTGAGATCGGGAGCACAGGCGTGAAATCCGGATCACAGCCTCCCTGCCTGGGCGCATGAGGGCGGGGCCCCACCACTGTATCCTCTGAGACTATTAGGGAGTCAGCTATCAGAGGTCTCAAACTTGAACCTGCATCAGAATCAACCGGAAAACTTAAAACACATGGCTGGGCCCCACCCTAAAGCTGCCGATGCTTTAGGTGGGACCTAAAGCATACGCTGCTGGTGGGACCTCAGGTTTCCAACATTTCCCAAGCGTGGGGAACCACTGCCTACCTCCCAGGGTCCCTGTAAGGATCTGAGTGAGTCCCTTCAAGAGTCTGCCCCGGTGCCTGACCCACATGGACCGACACTCAGTGAATACACAGGAGCTGTTCTGGAGTCCCCAGACACCATCCTACCCGCCCCCAACTGTCTGCCACACTAGACGCTCCTGTTCCTGCACAGGCCTTAAAACTGAAAATCAAGTTAACCCCGGGCCAGGCATGCTGGCTTATGCCTGTAATTCCAGCACTTTGGGAAGCCAAGGAGGGAGGCTCACTTGAGCCCAGGAGTTCAAAATCAGCCTGGGCAACCTAGCAAGACCCCCATCTTTACAAAACAAAATTTTTTTTTTAATTAGCTGGGTGTGCGCCTGTAGTACCAGCTACTCAAGAGGCTGAGGCAGGAGGATCGCTTGAGCCGGGGAGTTTGAGGCTGCACTGAGCCATGATCGCACCTCTGCACTCCAGCCTGGGTGACAGAACAAGACTCTTGTCTTAAAAAAATAAAATCTGTAACTGGTTTGGTTTTCAAGGACAAGAAAACACATTCATTCATCTTTACTAAGTGCCAAATACTCTGATAACTTGTCTATATTTGCGAATTCTTTAAACTTATATTACTTAGTCAGTGACTTTCAGAATTAGAGGGACTCTCAGACTCAGCTAGCCCAGGGCTAACCCTTTCATTTCCCAGTGGGAAACCTGAGGTCCAGGGAGGAAGGATGCAGCTCATCTTCAGGCCACAACCAAACACAGGGAGTGACTCCCCACCCACCACATCAAACTCCCCAAGAGCTTTAGGCGAAGACTTAGCCATGTCAGGTTACGACGTGGTCAGCGCTGCTTTCAGGGTCCCTGAGTGGAACGGTCAGGTACTGTCACAAGCTTGCAGCGTGCCAGAGAACACAGTTGGGAATAAAACTGGCAGAATGGTAAGGGAGTTCTGTCAGATAATGATCTAAAAGTTGAGTAAGGAGTGATTTACTCTACTTTCAAGAGGAAGCTTAGGCCATTTTAGATGCAGACAATTAGCAGCACACTAACTTTAACGGTGGCCTCATTAAGTGTTATTACAGAGCACAGCCCTGATTTTATCTGTATAGCATTTTGAGTAAAATGTGATTGCTAGAGGCATTCAGACTAAACTTCATTACAGTCACTCACCCACTGTTGCTGCTATTGATTATAGTGAGAAAATTCCATGGAGTTAAAGCATTTCCAACAGCTCATCTAGCAGTAACAGGAATCTTAGGAACCAGGCCCATCTCGTCATTGAAATGTCTCTTTCACTAGGCTGTAGTTGCATTGTCCTGCTATACATTTTAATAAATATCAAGTCTAATACCCGCTTTACGGATCTAGTATCATCTCAGTGCCTGAAAACATTCAAGATGCTGTACTACTTAAGAACTGTGTGACTTTGTATACCTTCTCTGGTTCCTTTACTATGTTGTATTCACAAAGGCTGGACTAATGTAACTAGAAGGGAAAAGGAGGATTTTTTAAAACCACCATTACTTCCCATAGCAAATGCATACACATGCCTGCAGGCTTACTATCTAATCGTTGTTCAACACAATCATGAAAAAGTTTGTATTTACCTTTCAAAAATATTCTATATATTTAAGCTGTCTTGACAAAAAAAAGATATACTTAAGCTTTCTTGACAAAGTTTACAGATGAAAATCGTGCGTGTTTAGCACACTAGGCCCCAAACCCTTCTATTGTGCACCCCAACTAAAACTTCTGAGTACCTCCAATGTGTAGTTAATGCAGAGTGCACCACAGTACTAATAGGGTATGTATGTTATAAAAACACATAAGTTCTAAATGAGTAACAACGGGAATGATATCTAAGTCTTTTTGTTCACCAAGGTATTAATTTTAGTGAAAGCAATGATTGTTATACTTTGCTATAACAATTTCAAATCTAGTTTTAAGTTTGGCACTTGATTTTAATAATTATCACAGCTAAAAGGTTCTTAAGTGGTATGTTTAGAATTTGCTTCAAAAATCTCCAGCAAATAAAGGGTGAGAATAGATGAAACAAGATTAGTAACATATCAGTACCTGCTCAAGCTGGGTGATAGGACAGAGCCCCACTACTGATTCTGTTATACTTTTGAGTATGACAGAAAACTCCCACTACGAGGGTTTTTTGTTTTTTTTTAAGACCCCTTACAAAGATAGATGTGGACAGAAGCATCTCAACAGTCCCCCAATCTTTGGCTGTGCTTCCTATCTAGCAAATGTGAAGTTTTTGCTGAAAAATCGACCAACATTTTCCATCTTTCTTGGTATTCTGGTCGTCTCTGTTCTTGCCAAGTAATTAGAAGGGATTATTAACAAATAGATTCAAAGCCAACTGAGACTCTTCCTAAGCATCTTAAATAGGTAAGGATATTCTGAGTTTTTATGTTACTGATACCTTACAGGTCAATGTAACTTTCACCTAAAATGGAAGCATTTCCCAATGGACATCTGAAAATAAGCCCATTCCTTACACTGATTTCAAAACACAGCTGTTTTCTCACATAAAGTTTCCTCTTTTCCTGGAGATGGTTTTTTAATGTCTACTAGGTATGCTACTGAGAGCCACTGGTATTGGAGGAAAATCAAGAAATTCAAAAAAAATTTTTTTTTTTTTATATGAAGTCTCACTCGTATCACCCAGGCTGGAGTGCAGTGGCGACACCTCGGCTCACTGCAAACTCCCATCTCCTGGGCTCAAGCAATTCTCCTCAGCCTGCCGAGTAATTTTTGAATTTTTAATAGGGACGGGGTTTTCCCATGTTGGCCAGGCTGGTCTCAAACTCCCGACCTCAGGTGATCCGCCCGCCTCAGCTTCGCCCAGTGCTGGGATTACAGGCGTTGAGTGAGCCACCATACCTCGCCCAGAACACTTTTTAAAAGGAAAATGCGTAACATTCTAGGACAGCCTGTGTAAATCTTGTTTCCCAAACCAGTGAATCTGTGAATTCCAATACACTAAATGTTTGAGATGACAGAGATGAAGCCTCCCAAAAAGCCACTAAACACAGACAGCCAGGAAACAGGGGGATGGGGAGAGAACGGGGCTCCGTGCTGGAGAAGGGTGAGAATAGGTTTGCAGCACCCTAAGCCTAAGTAAACAACTCATTCCAGAGAAACCAAGACAATCCCTGTCCGGGACGGGGGAGCAGGAGGGGGTGGGGGGGCGGGGAGGGGAGACAGCGGAAATGGGGGAGGGACCTATGGACTACTGAGGATAAAGGGCCAGCCTTGATAACTGCTTAACGGGCACCTTCTTCACCTTCCTCACTACTCGCTCACCTACAAAGGCCTCAGCCAAGTATGGTCAAGAGCACCTGCCAAAGCTTTGAAAACATCCAGTGCGCCTGCCCTACCATGTGAATTCCGCATCGGGAGCCTGACAGTTCTACTCCTACGAGGCCTGACCCTCATCTGCAAAATGGGAAAATACTATTGTCGCCTCGAAGGCTTCCCGGAATTAGTCTACCTGTAGGAGTGTAATTTGATGTAAAACGTATTATTTGGGGGACTGTTCAGTAAGATTGTCTCGTCACCCTGTAAAAGCAGGAAGGTTAAATTTTACAAGGTAATGTTAAGGCTTATTAATAACTGTAAGCAATCTGGCATAACGCCAAAACGGAGGAACTAATTCTCTAATAAGACATCTGCTCTACTCTACAAAGACCTGGTCCAACTACAGTCCCCAGACACCACACCAGGGTCCTCACTTCGGGGCTTTCACTCCCCCAGAGCCTTCATTTGATGAACTGGAAAGCGAAGGAAGTGGGAAAATGGACTACCCAAGTTTACACACCACTTAGCATCTACTAAATCTATTAATCAGACTCTTACATTTAACCTGTGAAAGTCCACTTCACACCTACCATGAATTTATGTATAAAAGATTCAACAAATCTGACGGAATGGGGAGTGGAAGTGTTGGTTTAATGGATAATTTCAGTTCTACAAGATGAATGAAAGTTTCAGAGTTCTGTTTCCCAACTTTGTAGACATACTTAAGGCTACTGAGCTGTAAACTTAAAAATGGGTACTATGGTAAATTTTACATATATCACAATAAAAAAAAAAGTACCAGGTATATTTTTAGTTTGAACCATGCAAAAATGCTCATATTCAGCTATTTCTGCAGCATCATGTGATGACACTTGTACCCCTGAACACAAGCGGAGCCTCACAGGCATCAAGCTTGCTGGCGCACACACCCCTCCTGCTGAAACCCTCCGGCCCAACACAGGACGCCACTGATAGTGAAGACAGCTGCGCATCCATGAATCCGGAATTTTGAAAAACATAACTGAAACAGAGTACTGTGAATATATATTTTATTTAGTCACTTTTGTTTACAATTGAAACTCTGGGAATTCAAAATTAACATCCTTGCCTGTGAGCTTCTTATAGACACCAGAAAAAGTTTCAACCTACAAGAAAAGAAAGAATTCATCACAAAACTCTGAAATACACACTCAGCTTAAAACCTAATAGTTTCATGAAATTGTGCCCTGTATGGTCTTTCTCCTCAGCAACTAAGTACCGAGAAGGAATACGCACGACATGTCCGCAGCAGTCTTATAACCATGGACAAGCTCCTCTCCAATGTTGTGGGACAGGACTCTACACCAATGCACCGGGAAGCCACCAGGGGACCCCACCAGTCACCCACATGGTTATGTCCCCCCAAGACACTGATCTATCACCATCCACCCCTAACTCACCAAGAATATACAGCCTAACTAAAAGACTACAGAATGAGCCTACTTCCAAAAGGTACAGACAATTTCAAGTGTTCAATTCTTTAAATTCTCCATTTAAAACCTGACATATAATCCAAAGTAGAGCAGGCTGAAGTGCGGGTAAAAGAACTAGTCCTGAGTTTACTAGTCATTGCTCTGGTGGCACATGGAGACTGGTTACTCTAAAATCTACTCTCACTGTGGCTGAACCTGTCCATGATAAATGTCGACCTATTACCTTGTGTTCCACATTGTTCTGCTGTGCTTTGTCCAAATGAACCTTTATAAGCCGGCTGCCATCTAGTTTCACGCGGATTCTCTTGCCCACAATTTCGCTTGGGAAGACCAAGTCCTCAAGGATGGCATCATGCACAGCTGTCAGAGTACGGCTGAAAGAAGAGTTAAAAAGGTAAGCAACACAGAATGCCTGCCCTCTCAACTCCAGAAGGCACCTCAAGTCAAAATGAAAATGTAAAACCCAGGTTCCTCAAGTCAAATTAACACTCATTTTCAAAGAAGCTTGTTATATTTCACGTACCAAACTAAAGCCTTTGTCTACCTAGAATACGGTAATAGCTTATTGACTTATCTCAAAAGTTCAATCAATTTTAAATGTTACTCTGGAGTAAATGACAAACTCACCAAGGCAGTAAGTGACCATCTCTAGGGAATGTGATTAGTGATGTCTTTTATACATCTTTATTTTCACTTGTATCATTTCTCAACTAATTCACTACAATAACCTTAACACTCTTGCTCATCTATCTCCAAAACCACCCCCTTCCAATGTCAAGATAATCTTTCTAAAAAATTGATATGATCACATAATTTACATAAAACACTCTTCAAGAGCTCTCCTAGACCTCCAAGATATCTTCCAAACTCCTTGTTCTCTAGGATCAAATGAGGCAATCTTCTGCCCCCAGGCACTGTTCTATCACCAGCTCTAGGATAGCTGTCCCTGCCCGCACATGTGGGTCTTCAATTTCTAACCCATCAGCATCACGAAAACTGCCAGTGGAATCTTGCTCCTCATCTGAGTATCACTATCAAGTTCAAAACCTACCTACCTGCCACCTAACAAATGAGAAGTTTCAATTAATTGCAAGCTTTTGGGGCAGCTACCATGTACCATGAGACATCAGGAGTAAGTCAAGAGACAGCTCTTTGTTTCGGCATTTATGGAGCTGCCTTGTATACAGTTATCTGTCTAGGTCTCACCCCACTGTAGCTAACAATGACACTATAGTCTACTCATTTGGATTTCCTATCTGGCAGCGCCCATATACACAGTTAACATCTTCTGGTGGCTCTCAATTTTACTCCCAACATCTTAATATTTCACAGCCACAAAGGGCAAAAACTTGAAGAAAGTCCATTTCCCAAAACCCTCATCACCTTTCAGAAAGCAAATCAAGACAAATGGATTGTTCACTGCGACTCATTCATTAAGCATATTCTTACAATACTAGGAAAGCACCCAAATATGGAAATTAGATTCCAAAGTTATCTACAAACTCTTAAAATGGGGAGCAAAGGAACAACTCAATCATCACAAACCACAGGGACTGGAGCGCTTCAGAGGAAAAACCCTGCTATACCCCAAAACTGTATCAATTTCAGCATTTAACCTGAGTTAGACAAAGACAGCTCTACTGAATAGGGGAAATAAATCGGAAAGCAGGAAGCCGGATTGGAAAAAGTGGAATCACTATGACCTACCAGCTAGGCTTAGCGCGGACGAGGGAAGGCTTTCAACAGACTAGGCCCCACTAGAAACACTGAAGCCACTGTCTGAGAAAATTTGGAAAACAGACGTTTGTACTGAGGGGAATTAAAGCTATGGGTTTGAGGAACAGTCCTTTGGCTGTGTGGAAAGCAAAGCGACTGTTTTTATACTCGTTTCCTAACTCAGGTTCTCAGAACTGAGTTTCCAAAACCCTCTTTAAGTGTCATGATTTAGGAAAAAACAAAATCCTAAATTCTTATGCCGCTCTGTCCATAAAAGTTTTTCAAAGTACTAAGCCATAGAATTCAAGTTCTACAAAACCTGGCACCTACCTTTCCACAGACCACAGTTCAATACGATAACACATTGCTAGATTCCCAACACTATTTCCTAGTGGTTTTCAAAACAAGGCTGAGTTTAAAAAAACAAAAGAAAACGCCGCCCACGGTAGCTCACACCTGTAAACCCAGCACTTTGGGAGGCCGAGGCAGGTGGATCACGAGGTCAGGAGATCGAGACCACCCTGGCTAACATGGTGAAACCCCGTCTCTAATACAAAAAATTAGCCAAGCTTGGTGGTGGGCGCCTGTAGTCCCAGCTACTCGGGAGGCTGAGGCAGGAGAATGGCGTGAACCCGGGAGGTGGAGCTTGCAGTGAGCTGAGATCCGACCACTGCACTCCAGCCTGGGCAACAGAGCAACACTCTGTCACCAAAAAAAAAAAAAAAAAATTCTTAGGATTACTAGTATTAGCTACAATGAGCAAATTATCCCAGCCTTGAATCAGTTTTCTCATCCACTAAGGATAACAATACAAATTATACATTTCACAGGGTATAGGCATAACTAGAATTTTTTTTTCTTAAACTCATCCCTAGGTAAAAGTCCACAGGGATTTCATAGTTCACATTTGTAGAACAACATACTAATCAGAGACTAACAAAATAACAAAAGATCTAGTTTAAGAAGACAACTACCAATATTTGTTTATGCCAGATAACCTGTAAGTCAATCAAGTTCATAAATCATTTTCCATCAGCATCAGCTGCAATGATATTTTAACCTGTGATGTTATCACCCAAATCCACCTACATTTTTTACTTCCAATCCACAGCAAAAATAAAAATCAAAGATAAATCCAAGCTCACGTCAACTATGTCTAGCAGGCTTTATCACACAGAACTAAAGTAATGACTTCCGTCTCACCATTCCTATCCTGTGCACACATAATCGGAGGAAATCATCTCATCTCGTGACAGCACTGAGCTACTAGACATACAATGGCTATGTGAATACATGTGTTTTACATCTAGAATTCTAAAACATACCATGTGCAACTATAGAGGAAAGCAAATACTGCTACTCAAAAATTCCCACTTGAACATCTGTTTTTATAAGTTATAACTTACACAAATTAAGAGTTGTTAATAAGAGGATTACACATATTTCTGAAACTACTAAAACACTCACCTCCTGGGACGCTTCTGTTTATTTTTTGTACGGCTTTTTCGAGTTGGCTTAGGCAGAATTCTCCTCTGTAAGGTAAAAATTATCATGCAACAAAATGAAAAAAGACCTTAAATTGACAAAAAGCTAAAACTGTCATACTGCTTTAAAAGCAAGAATGGCAGGGTAAGTTCAAAGTTCAAGAAAGCTAAACAACTCAGATCCTGAGGAAACCGTTCTATGGAGTTACTTGCTGATTCTTGACTCATTCATTCAGAATCCACAGCCTCTACTAATATGCCAGCGGGAAAAAACCTCCCAGACACGCCTTTCCCCATGCCTACTGACCCAGAATACTACTTTTACTCCTGATCAATCCCGGCACTTCATTCCCCAAAGACTTCAGTTTGCACCAATGCCAGATCCGAACTGTAACAGATTTCTTAGTTTGATCATCTCTGTAAGCAACCCACTAGACTTGTAGAATTTTAAATATGGGAAATCATTTTCGTAACTCAAAACACAGCAGTCTGTCACTTCACAGATTTGTTTCGGCTCCTAAAGAGTGCACTTCGTCTTTTAAAAACTTCTTATTTTTCTATTTTTTGTAGACAGGGTCTCACCATGTTGCCCAGGTCACTGAAGTGATCCAACCACCTCCACCTCCCAGTGCTGGGATTACAGGCGTGAGCCACCACGCTCCGCCTGTACTTCTTTCTGCCCATTTGGATTCCTAAAAGGATTGTTTTCATGACTCCAACTACCAATGCGGTCTAAATACAAGCAATTTTAGCAAAATTCACAAACAGAAACGTGCTGCAACAGAACAGATACCTGAGCGATAAAGACAACATGCTTCCCACTGAACTTCTTCTCCAACTCGCGCACTAGCCGGACTTGGATTTTCTGGAAAGATTTCAGTTGAGGAACAGGAACAAAGATTATGATAGCTTTCCGACCACCCCCAACTTCAATTTCCTAAAGAAAAAAAAAAATCCACTTGTTAATTGCTTCAGAAAGCAAAAAAGTAAACGTTGTGGTCAAATTAGAGACTAAGAAAACCTTATCACTAACACCATAGCTGCATTACAAACTAATAATAGTTTTGAGTTAATGATATATGCACCCTTCGGAGATGTTCTCATCTCTCTCCAACATTCACATTTCCTTATTCCAGGACGGAGACTGTCCAGGCCAGGAGGCCAATCACTGCCACTTCTGCACCCCCGCATGCGGCAACTCCGGGCTAAGTGTAGAGAAGTCTGCATCCTGGGAGCTCCCCATAGCTCTTCGCTGTATTTATAACTAAGTAAGAGCAAGTAAGGTCCGAAACCGGCCCAGGCCCTCTCTACTCCACGTTTCTCCACCGCCCGCACGTGCACAGCTTCAACTGCAGAGTACCTGCAACCCCACTCCCGCACCTGGCGGTATCACTGGCAAACAGCACGGCGGAACCCCAGTTCAGGTTAGGCAGCCAGGCGGCAAGTCGTCCTCAACCGTAACCCGGGTCATCTAACAACCCTCCCAGGCACTGCGCGCTGAGACGCGCCGCACCTGCCTCCCAGCCGAGGGGCGCCAGCTTACCTTGGCTGCCGTAATATTCAGCTCCCTGAGCTGAGCCTTGAGGTCCGAGTTCATCTCCAGCTCCAGAAGAGCCTGAGAAGCAACGAACAGCAGGGCCGACCCTCAGCGCGCGTCCCAGCAGCCCGGGCCCAGCACACACGCGACCGCCTTCCCTCCCAGGCGGGGCGCCTCCACCCGCCCCGGACCCCAAGGAAACCCTCTCACCTGGGAGATGCCGGACTCGAACTCGTCCGGCTTCTCGCCATTGGGCTTCACGATCTTGGCGCTCGAACTGAACATGGTCTTCTCCTGGGAGAACTGAAGGCACAGCGGTCTGCGTTACGCGGCCGGGCTGCGGGCGCCGCCGGCTCGCCCTCCCGCCCGCACCCCCCGGCCAGGCCCCGCTCGCCCCCGCAGAAGCCATCGGAGGACACAGGGCGGGTAATCGGCTGTATCCCCACCCGGTGAGCAAGGCCCGCCGCTCCAGGGCCTGACTCCAAAAGGCGTTTTCCTCAACGCAAGAAGAAAAGTTCGGCCCAAGAACAGGCCGCCAACCTACCTCGCCGAGCGCCGGCTTAGGAAGAGGCCCAAATCTCGCGAGAGCACGTCAAACTCTGGCGGCGGAAGGGAAGAGGCGTAAACAGCGCGAGGAGAAGGGCGGAAACCGGAACATCACTGAGAAGCGGTAGAAGGCTAGACAGTCCCAGGAAGCGGCTCCGGGGACGAGTGTCTTGGTAACGCTTTTCCGCCGTAGGATTCGTACTTTGGTGCCGTTTCCGAGCGTTCCGGTGCCGGCTCCCAAGATTCCTAGCTTCAATGCAGGTTGCAGGCGGGAACTGGCGTCGTCCCAGCCCTGGGCCTGGACGAGAGAAGGAGGAGGCCGAAGAAAACCAACTTCGGCAACCTCCAAGGAGACAGGACGATTGAAAAAGGCTAACTTGGCTGGGCGCTGAGGCTCACGCCTGTAATCCCAGCACTTTGGGAGGCCGAAGCAGGAGGATCACTTGAGCTCAGGAACCAGCTTGGGCAACATGGCGAGACCCCATGTCCACCAAAATAAATACATAAATTAGCCGGTCATGGTGTCACGCGCCTGCAGGCCCAGCTACTCCGGAGGCCGAGGCGGGAGGATTGCTGGAGCTGAGAGGTCGAGGCTGCAGTGAGCGGAGGTTGCACCACTGCGCTCCAGCCTGGGCGACAGACCAAGACCCTGTCTGAAAATAAATTTTAAAAAATTATGAGGCCTTCGCTCTATGCTAGTACTGTACTAGGTGCTAATTATTAAGTAGAACAGACTGAACTCTTGCCCTCATGGAGCTTACAGTTTAGTGGAGAAGACATTACATAAACAGTATGACTATATAATGACATTGTAATAACTTACATAACAGTAACATGGGAGGGATTATTTATGCTTTAAGAAGTCCGGAATCCTGGAACACGGAAGAGCCACAGGGTCTATCGCCTGGGGAAGAGCATTCCAGACAGGGAGAAACTCGTGCCGGAATGATCCCGCTGTGGACAGGTAATTTAATCTGAGCTTCAGTTTCCTCTTCTGTCAAATGTCGGGCAAGAGTTACTTTCAGCCGTGGGCCAGGCACTGTGAAAAATGCAGAAACATTACACTAGGTGCCCTCTCAGGATTCCCAACCACCTTTACTAAGCAGAGATGGTATTCATCTCACATTTTTAATGCTAGGTATGCTCCCGCCCCATGCTTCTCTAATAATGTTTTTTAAAAGGCAAGTGACTATCTCCTTGGAAAATTAAGGAAAACTTGAAATTTCTTCCAAATAGAAAGGAAACTACAGCTGCGTCTACAGTCTCATCTGGGCGGTCATTCTGAGGCCCCTTGTCGAACTAGGTCCATTTCCTTACTCCACATGCACTTTTCAGCCTAGCTTTTATCTCTGCTGCTCTATAAAAGTAGTAATCTAAAAGTTCATCCAGTAAAGCTCTTTCTCTGTGAACCTGTCAATTGAGAAAAAAAATTAAAGTTATTTCTGGTTTCCAGTCCTTTGTTGAATAGGAGTGGTGAGCAAGGACATCCGTGCCTTGTTCCCCATCTTAGGGGAAAACAGATTCAGTCTTTTACCATTAAGTATAATATTAGCTCTAGGTTTTTTGCAGATATTTTAAATCAAATTCAGGAAGTTCCCTCTATTCCTATTTCTGAGGGTTTTTTTTTTTTAAATCATGAATGGATGTTGGAGTATGTCAAATGCATTGTTTCTACGAACTAATATGATTATGTGAGTTTTTCTTCTTAGCCTGTTAATGTGCTGTTAATATACATAAATGCTTTTCCTTTCTAACTCTTTAGCTTTGAGCCTCATGAGATCCTAAGAAATGTGATTTTTAAAACTTAGAACCTGATAGAAGTTGATAAAGGTTGCACATGTATTTTTAATAGGTAGTTTCAGGATCATAATCACAACTTAGAGGATGATTCTACTAATTTTATGTTAGGAAATGCCTACTAATCGTTACATTATATTTTTTTTACTAGTTTTACTAGTACTAGCTTCTTTATTATTTAATCAAACAATAAGTGAGTCGATAATACCAACATAATTGACAAGGAACAGAAATATCATCTATCCAATCCACTTACTTTTAGAACACTTTGTTAACTCTTTTATGTATCATTATGGACATGTGACATTGCAGATTTGCTATACATCAATCAATCTCAGCCAATATTTCTCCTTTGATCCTCAAATTGTCTCAGTTGTGACCAGGAGGGGCCCCTCTTAGATAAGCAGCCAAGTCTTGTCATCTCCATGAATGTCTGAACATCTTGTTTTCTGGCACAAGATATTCCAGGCTCCTCTTGTAATTTTCTGCCTGAGACATAGAATGAGCCTTTTCTTCTAAAAATGCTGATAGTTTTGTTTTTTGTTTTTTGTTTTTTTTTGAAAAATAGTATTGGAGACCAGAATTTTGGCAGCAGGAAGCATCGTGGGGATCCTCTTAAGCCATTTCAGCGGACAGAGCTTAAAAAGATGCATTTAAAATAATGTTTTCATAAAAGATACAAGTTCACATTGACATTCTCGATCCACTTCTAACAGAACGATTCCTTCTGAAATCCTCGATTCTATCATAGCATCTCCTTTTCTCCTGTAATAAAAACCTTGATTCCTAAACACAAAAATACAATTACTTGCTTTATCTGACACTATGAGAGAATACATTCAAAATAACAATTCAGGCAGGCTGCAGTGGCTCACACCTGTATTCAGGCGGGCCTCAGTGGCTCACACCTGTAATCCTAGCACTTTGGGATCATCCACCCCACCCAGGGTGGGTGAGTCACTTGAGGTCAGGAAATCAGCCTGGCCAACATAGTGAAGCCCTATCTCTACTATAAATAGAAAAATTAGCCAGACCTGGTGGTGGACGCCTGTAATCCCAGCTACTTGGGAAGCTGAGGCATGAGAATCGCTTGAACCTGGGAGGCAGAGGTTGCAGTGAGCCGGGATGGCACCACTGCACTCCAGCCTGGGCAACAGAGTGAGACTTTATCTCAAAAAACAAAAAATCAATATATATATTTTTTTGAGACAGGGTCTTGCTCTGTTGCCCAGGCTGGAGGGCAGTGGCATGATCACTGCTCACTGTGGCCTCAGCCTCCCCAGGCTCAGGCGATCCTCCCATCCCAGCCTCCCAAGTAACTGGGATTACAGGTGTATGCCATGAGGCCCAGCTAATTTTTTGTATTTTTTGTGGAGGGGGGTTTCACCCTGTTGCCCAGGCTGGTCTCGAACTCCTAAGCTCAAGCTATCCACCCACCTCAGCCTCCCAAAGTGCTGGGATTACAGGAGTGAGCCACCACACGCAGCCTAACAATTCAACATTAATATAACCCATACAATTACTTAATAAAATTCAAAGATTTCTAGTGAGATCTGCAGTCTGTATGCATTTTCCACAGTTTACTCATCATCTCTCACTCTGCTGTCTGTTGGTTCTCTGATAGTTTGGGTCAAGAGTTTCAGCTCGTATTCAGTTTGAGGATTAAGTTTACGAAAGCGGATGGCTTTCAGCTACTAGAAGAGAGAAGGTGCTATTCTACCTTTCAATGATGGAAAGACTGAACAGCTCAATCTCCAAAATTATTTAAATGGATTCATCTAGCTACCATCTGGAGTTATCCATCCACAATAACCCAGTACATAATCGCACAGAAATAACTGCTAACTGAACTGCCCACTGCCTCCTGCTTTTAAATTTCTAGGATGATCAGAACTCAGGTGTTTCACATATTCATAAAAATCTCTAAATATCCTAACTCCCGTTTTGATCTTTCAAGCTTTATAGTTTTCTTGATGTTCATATAAGCTACAAGTTGTCTTTCACTTTATACTATTCAATGTTCCTTTCCAGTCTAACATACATGGTCATACCAAGATCTGCAGTGTGCCAGCCAAATGATTCGCCTAATGTTTTGATCTTGATAATTCCAAACTCCAATTGCTGGAATTGAGCAAGGTACTCATCGTAGGAGGAAGACACCACCCTGAGCAACTGTGGGGCCTCCGCTAAGGAGGTGTCAGGAAACACGAATAGGACTCGGTTTTGTGTCGGGAATTTGGGGGAGGGCTTGAGAAAGGGGGCTTTGCTTAGCATTGGATGCTGTCACAAAGCTGGAGTAATTCTGTGGTTGGGTGTCTTAAGTTTCATTTATAGTGAGAGCAGACGAGCGCCAGTCCTCAGCTGCAGTTGCTAAGGAAGCAGCCGTCACTCCTGCTAACCAGGAGAGTAGGATGTTTGGTGTTTTTGTGGCCTCGTCAGTGTTCATATTTTGCCTGGATTCAGACATGATTTTGCAGTGGTCTTGTTTTTGTCTTCGTCAGTGATGGGTTAATGTAGCCTTATCTGATTTTGGCCTTTTTTTTTTTTTTTTTTTTTTTTAAGATGGAGTCTCGCACTGTCGCCCAGGCTGGAGTGCAGTGGTGCCATCTCGGCTCACTGCAACCTCCACCTCCCAGGTTCAAGAGATTCTCCTGCCTCGGTCTCCCCGAGTAGCTGGGATTACAGGTACCCGCCACCAGGCCTGGCTAAGTTTTTTGTATTTTTGATAGAGACGGTGTTTCACTATGTTGGCCAGGCTGGTCTCTAACTCCTGACCTCGTGATCCGCCCACCTCAGCCTCAGTACCAAACAAGTGTAGGACAGCAATACGATGGAATGCTATTCAGCAATAAAGATAGACAAGCTGCTAATATAAGTTACATCAGCATGAACCTTGAAAACATTATACAAAGTAAAGCATTATACAAAGTGCTAGGATTACAGGCCTGAGCCACCGCGCCCGACCTTGACATTCTCTGAAATCATTTATGTTCAACAGGAAAACCAGGACTGCTGGGGTGCTAGGCCAGATGTCACAACACCAAGGCCAGCTAGTATTCCACGCGGCTGCTGGAAGTCAGAGACTACTTTTCTCTTTTTACCCAGTACCAGCCAAAATTTTTTATTTTCCTACAGAAGGCTCAAGGAATCATCAAGTACATTAGAATTTCACATAATTAGCAAAGAATTCATGAACACAGAGCCTTGAATTTTGCCCCAAATCATCTTCTGACTTATGAGTCACAGCTCATAATTTATATTTATTTATTTATTTAGAGACAGAGTCTCGCTCTGTCACCCAGGCTGGAGTGCAGTGGTGCAATCTTGGCTCACTGCAATCT